GTATGTATGTTAATCCATGCCTAGCTTACATATTTTATTACAGGGCGTATGTATGTTAATCCATGCCTAGCTTACATATTTTATTACAGGACGTATGTATGTTAATCCATGTCTGGCTTACATATTTTATTACAGGGCGTATGTATATTGTGTATGTTTTGATAACGTTTGTAGCGGACGTTTCACTGTTTTTTGCCTGTCAGACTTCTAGCATAGTTCGTACGTTGCCAAAGTTTGGTTTTAATATTGTTTATGTGTTAGACCCGCGTGGGTCAAACCTAAGAATTTTGTTGATGTCACAGTTTGGAAGGGTGTGCTGTTCAGGTATATTTCGGGTGGGTGTCTTTTAAGTTTCATGGATTTTGTAAATTGTACTATTTGAGTTTTCGGGAAGTTTATTCGAATATGGTATTTTTGACAATATTCTAAAATTGTGTTTAGTTGTGGATGAAGATTTGTGGCTGCTATCGAGGACACTTTTTCCAAATTGTAACATCATCACGAATTGTGATGCGTATCCAAGATTTAGATCCTTTAGGGACATGTCAGTCACATACACGATGAATAGAATAGGACTAACCTCTCATCCCTAGGGAACACCTGCCTCAGGAGTGGAGTACTCTGAGTAGGTGCCCTCCATATTCACTCTATATTTCCTGTTTTCCAAAAAGTTTGGTGGCCAGCGCGGAAGTTCCATTTCTGACATACGGGACTTTAGACTGTTGTGCTATACAGTCTTCCCCCTTTCTTATCTTTCCTGATAAGTTTTTTTTAGATCTTTCTAATGGTGTTTAAGACCTGGGAGGGTCAGATGCAGTTCGATATGGTAACGTGAGCTACACGTTCGCCAAATGATTTACAACTTGTGTGGCTGGATTATTGGTTAGTCACAGTTCTTCCTCCATACAACACACATTTATTGTTTTTAAATTACCCGACAAAGTTTCGCTGTATTTTAAAAACAAATTTATTTTTGCAATTAGGTTATTTAAGAGTTTCCAATTTCGTCTGTTTTTCAGTTTATCTTCGTGAACCCAAGAGGTTCAATGTGTTAAGTTGGAAAATCAGGTGCTGATCTTTAACCAAGTTCATGTTTCAAAAATAACCTTACTGCCTACTTATCTATCTACAATTCTGAAAACAATCTACGTAAACAGCATGGCTGGTTAAACATCGCTGGTGTGTTGTATGTTTAAACTAAGACAGCCAAAAGTTTTCGGGATGTTAAAACTCAAGGTTCTCTAAACAAACAAAAACCGCAGTGGCTAATTTTCACACTAACTGGAACATTTAAATAAGTTCTCTTGTGTAGAATTCATGAGTCAATTTTCTCCGTTTGTTATGTGAAGTAAGGTAATTGTAAATGATAACTTTTGTCTGTAACAATCCACTGTATCTTTCAATGTTATAGCATTAAAACACGACAGGAAAAGACTGAAAGTCGAGAAGTTTGATCTTCTAAACCAGATGAAACAACTATACAGCACTTTAGAGGATAAAGAAAAGGAGCTGAGAGACTTCATACGAAACTATGAACAGAGAATGAAACAGAGCGATGAAAATTTAAAGCAGGTAAGAAAACCATGTGTTCAAAAACGTTGACTGAATAACATAGTCACTTGTTCAGAAAAATTAACTCAGTAAGTAGCATCACAGAGTTACGTATTTAGAAAATTTACTTAGTAAGTCGCATCATAGTGTCACGTGTTTAGAAAGTTAACTCAGGAAATAACATCACAGAGTCACGTGTTTAGAAAGTTAACTCAGTACGTTGCATCACTGACTCACTTCTTCAGAAAAATAACTCAGTAATTTGCATCATAGAGTCACGTGTTTAGAAAATTAACTCATTAAGTTGCATCATAGAGTTACGTGTTTAGAAGGTTAACTCATTAAGCTGCATTATAGAGTTACGTGTTTAGAAAGTTAACTCAGAAAGTAGCATCACGGTCACGTGTTTAGAAAGTTAACTCAGTAAGTGGCATCACGGTCACGTGTTTCGAAAGTTAACTCAGTAAATGGCATCACGGTCACGTGTTTAGAAAGTTAACTAAGTAGCATCGCGGTCACGTGTTTAGAAAGTTAACTCAGTAAGTTGCATCACGGTCACGTGTTTAGAAAGTTAACTCAGTAAGTGCCATCACGTTCACGTGTTTAGAAGGTTAACTCAGTAAGTGGCACCACGGTCACGTGTTTAGAAGATTAACTCAGTAAGTGGCACCACGGTCACGTGTTTAGAAGGTTAACTAAGTAGCATCACGATCACGTGTTTACAAAGTTAACTCAGTAAGTGGCATCACGTTCACGTGTTTAGAAGGTTAACTCAGTAAGTTGCACCGCATTTTACGGAAAGTGGGTAACAGGTAGAAGTTCAAGGGAATTTTTCTAGAAAACTTTGTTTTATCGAACTTTGATGTTCGAACAGTGCCTAACTGCCTGTATAAAGGTCATTGTAGAGGGATAGGCTTAATAAAGAAAGTAGCTTTCAAAGTCATCGAATAAACATTGAAAGTTTACAAGAACGAACCGTGACCAACCTTTAACGCGTTATTGTGAACTCCGACCGATCTGGGGTGTGGCGGTTAGGGCCCTCGACTTGCATAACTGCAGGGTCGAAACTCATCGTCTAACATGCTCGTCCTTTCATCCGTGGCAGCGTTATAACGTAATGGCTAATTCCACTTTATATTGGGAAGAGTATCCCAATAGTTGGCGGTGGGTGATGTTAACTAGCTGCCTTCCTTCTAGTCTATCACTTCAAAATTAGGGACGGTTAGTGTAGTTAGCCCTCACGTAGCTTTGAGTGAAGTTCAAGAAACGAACAAACTGACCAATCCTTAAAGCGATATCGTGAACTCTGACCAATCCATAATGCATTGTGATGAACCCCGAGCAATCCTTAATGTATTATGGTGAACCTCGACCAATCCATAATGTATTATGGTGAACCCCGAGCAATCCTTAATGTATTATGGTGAACCTCGACCAATCCATAATGTATTATGGTGAACCACGACCAATCCTTAATGTATTATGGTGAACCCCGACCAATCCATAATGTATTATGGTGAACCTCGACCAATCCATAATGTATTATGGTGAGCCCCGAGCAATCCTTAATGTGTTATTGGAAACCGCGACCAATCCTTTATTAGTAAAATTACCACACCAATTTTGACTTTCGAACATATTAATACTTTTGTTGTTATTTTAGCACAAAGCTATACAATGGACTATCTGTGCTCTGTCCACCTTGGGGAATCTAACCCTGGATTTTAGCATTTTAAATCCATATACTTACCGATGGCCCACTGGGGGACATATTTTAATACTAATACTTCTTTAAAGTTGCAGAGATTTACTTAGCTAAAAGTACTATAATACCTTAAAGTTGCATAAAGTTATTTAGCTAAAAATGCCATAATACGTTAATGTGGCATAGTTATTTAGTTAAAAGAACCGCAACACTTTAAAGTGACATAGAGTTATTTAGATATAAGTACAGGAATACTTTAAAGTGGCATAGTTATTTAGTTAAAAGAACCGTAACACTTTAAAGTGACATAGAGTTATTTAGATATAAGTACAGGAACACTTTAAAGTGACATAGAGATAGATACTTAGCTAAAAATACAGGGACACTTTAAAGTGGCATAGTTATTTAGCTAAAAGAACCGCAACAATTTAGAGTGACATAGAGTTATTTAGCTAAAAATACTGCAACAATTTAAAGTGACATAGAAATTTAGCTAAAAATACTTCAACACTTTAAAGTGACATAGAGTTATTTAGCTAAAAGTACATGAACATTTTAAAGTGACATAGAGATAAATATTTAGCTAAAAATACAGGGACACTTTAAAGTGGCATAGAGTTATTTAGCTAAATTCTAGCACGAAGTGAAGCTGGAAATTTCAATGATGGACGCTGGATGTTGAGGTTGTGAAATACCGACAAAATTATATTATGTTTTTTTGGAAGGTATACTTTGCCAAAACAAAAACATTGAGTTATTTGACAGCTAAAGCAAGTGTAATACCATCCTCAGAATATGGTAATTAGAACAATTCTCTCCAACTTCCGCCAGTGAACGATATCTTACTAATCTTGTATGAGTAAGCTTCACCTTTATATATTTATCTTCTGCGTTAACATTTGTCAAATATTAAATAAGTTTTGAAATAAGACAGGAAGAGTGGCCAGGAGAACACTTGACTTTGTGATGCTTGTATGTACATTGTAAGCTAGTTAAAACTAAAACTCATGATATGATGTTGGTGCTTAACAGTCTCTGCTGGTACCTACAGTCTCTAATTATGCTTAAGGGTTTCTGCTGCTGCCTGACAGCCTCTGTTGGTACCTAACAGTCTCTGCTGGTGCCTAACAGTCTCTGCTGGTACCTAATAGTCTCTGCTGGTACCTAATAGTCTCTGCTGGTACGTATGATACTCTGCAGTTTCCTAACAGTCTTTGCTGGTGCCTAACACTCTTTGCTGGTACCTAACAGTCTCTGCTGGTACCTAACAATATCTGCTGGTACCTAACAGTCTCTGCTGGTACATATGATATTCTGCAGGTTCATAACAGTCTCTAATTATGCCTGACAATATCTGCTGGTGCCTAACAGTCTCTGCTGGTACCTAACAGTCTCTTCTGGTACATATGATATTCTACAGGTTCATAACAGTCTCTAATTATGCCTGACAATATCTGCTGGTACCTAACAGTCTCTGCTGGTACATATGATATTCTGCAGGTTCATAACAGTCTCTAATTATGCCTGACAATATCTGCCGGTGCCTAACAGTCTCTGCTGGTACCTAACAGTCTCTTCTGATACATATGATATTCTGCAGGTTCATAACAGTCTCTAATTATGCCTGACAATATCTGCCGGTGCCTAACAGTCTCTGCTGGTACCTAACAGTCTCTTCTGATACATATGATATTCTGCAGGTTCATAACAGTCTCTAATTATGCCTGACAATATCTGCCGGTGCCTAACAGTCTCTGCTGGTACCTAACAGTCTCTTCTGATACATATGATATTC